ATATCATCAGGGACATAAATCCTAGAATCCAAATCATCAAAGTAAGGTGTTATATCAACCCTTTCACCCTTTAGCTTTACCATACCTAACTGTGTGTTAGGTATTTTAAACTCTGTTTTAGAGAATTTCATAATTCTCTAAAGGACAAATAGGTATTATAGATTTCTTAAAGGTATTTTAAGAGGATGAAATAGGGGGCCAAATTTCTGCAAGTTATTAAAGTAAATTTCCAACACACTACAAAGTTTTGCCAATGATTCTTTTTATCATATAACCAATGTGATACCTAACTATATTTTGTAAGTACTTCAGCTATTAAGTATCAAATGTCATGAGTAGTTGAGTAATTTCTTTAAAAAAATTAAAGTGGAGTTGGGAATGGGCTACAGCGTGTGGCTTCCTAGATGTATATTTTTGCTTTGGTCTTGTCACACTGGTACTTTCTTGTGATATTTTGGATGGTTTATTTCAGATGTATGAAGGAGCCTGAAATGCATGTACTGACTTTCAAAGCTAATGCATTGCAAAGCCTTGGATCAGGCGCCTTAGCTCAGAAATGTTATTTAAGAGTCTGCCATAGAGAGAATTTTCCCAACTCATATTGTGTGGGTAATTAGACCTTGTCAACTTGGTGAAATGATTATACAGTGAGGGTTTTGAAATGCAAGGAAACAGTTTATTTCTGGGAGTTACTTATGATTAGAATTGGAAATAAAAGACAACCTTTTAAGAAAGACACATTGGAAATCAGCTTATTTGGAAAGGGTTTCATCAAATTCAAAGATTCATTAACCATGATATACATTATGGATAGACCTTATTTACACACTGCATGTTCTGAATATGGACATCAAACATCAGCTATAATGTATACTTTCATGACCATTAGAAAGCCCTTATGGGTTAAAATAGACCAAAGATATAACAACCAAATAAAGTAAGAGAACCATATTAAATTCTGGTTGAAAAAAATCAGTTAAAAAGACATTTTTTGGACAACTGAGAAATTTGAATTTGAACTAGATATTATATAGTATTGTAATTTTCCTTAATGTGTGAATGCTATTGTTTATAGAGGAGAATCTCTTATTTAGAGGTGAAGTTTCATGATGTCAATACTGTACTTTCACATGGTTTGGGCAAGCATTCACACATATATTTCATGTATTTACATTGTTTCTATGGATAATGCATAGCAAATGGTTCAGCAATATGTATATGTATGTGAGATCCAAATGTATGTGTATGTGTTTACACACACTGACATATGTATGTACTTTTACCATAATCTCTCTCCCCACTTGCACACACACATGCGCACACAGTATATTATTAATAATTACTGAATGTCGTTGGTGCATATAAGGTTAGTCACTGAATTATCCCTTCAATTTTTCTATATGTTTAAAAATGTTTCTATATATTTAAAAGAAGGAGATGGGGAGGAAACCCTGGAGTGTGGGGAATCCCTGTGGTAGCATATGGCAGACAGTTATTTGCCTCCCATATCTATTTTCTCCTTCTTGCTCTATTTTCTTCCTTAGTAATAGAGCTCTGAATTTATCTGGGGTGGCAAGATGCCTTCCTACCTTCCCTTGAATCTGAATGTGGCCGTGTGATTAAGTTCTAGCCAGTGACTTTTAAGTGGAGGTTGTTGGGCAGGATTTTGGGAAGCCATCTTAAAATGGAGAGTGCTCACCTTCTTATGCTTCAGTCTTTCTTGCCAGAAATGTGGACCAATGACTAGAGCTCCAGGGAACACGCAGGGCCATGAGGTAACCTTGAAGTTACAAGCCATATGCCAGGATGATGCAGCAGAAAAATAGAAACATGGGACTCTGATGATTGTTATCTTAGTCTGTTTAGGCTGCTACAACCAAATACCAGAGATTGGGTGGCTTAGAAACAACAAACATTTACTTCTTACCATTCTGGAGGCTGGGAAGTCCAAGAACAAGGTGTCAACACGTCAAGGAATTTTCAGATATGGATTCAGTGTCTGGAGAGAGCCCACATCGTGGTTCATAGACATCTTTTCACTATGTCCTCACATGGTAGACGGAGCAAGGGAATTTCCTCGGACTTTTTATATAAGGGCACTAATCCCATTCATGAAGGCTCTGCCCTCATGACCTAATCACCTTCCAAAATCCCATCTCCTACTACTATCACATTGGGCATTAGGTTTCAACATGTGAATTTTAGATACAAACATTCAGATAGCAACTATGTGTCTACCATACCAACCCTGTTGACTCTGGGTTTCTGCTCTGTGTGACAGAAATAACTTCTATTTTGTTTAAGGCACTCTTACAGTTTTCCCATATGCAACCAAGGCTAACCCTGACTGACACAAAGGGAAACTATGAACAAGATAAAGATCTTCAACACTTTCATTGGGAAAATTAGGAAATTTGCTTGAGCAAATCCAAATCTGAATTGAAAAACTAAAGAACGATAGTATAAGCTCTAACTTTTTGGCAGTTCAGGGAAAGCCATGTGAGACTTTTCTTAGAGCACGTTAAGAAGTAGTCTACTGATCTTTATACAGTTAGAATAAATGGGATGATGTCAGTGCAAAATCCACTGTAATTTTTAATAGATTTTTGCCAGGTTTCAGGCCCAAACTTGTTGGGAACTTAGTGGAGGCTGCTTTGGCTCTTTATACCCAACAAAGAATCTTTCTAGGTCCTTGTCAAGTATCAGTTGGGGGCCACCTTGGTGAAATACAGTGGGTTAGTTTCCTTTCCTCTGACTCATAGATTCTCAATGCTAAGAGAGAGAGTCAAGTTAGCGTTTGGTAAAAGAGTAAAGTGGGAGAGAATTATCGTTTTCCAGTCTGCGATGCCTCAACTGCTTTCTTGCCCTCTGTCTATGGTTTTAGGGAAAACAGAATGACTTCACACAAAGTAACTGTTTATAAGATACATCCTTTTAAAATCAGCTTTCAGATTTTGACACTATTTGAAAGAGTTTTTAAATTTTTCATCCTTTAATTTTTGCACTAGAATCTTAAGCATAGAGGTATATTTGCAGTAACATCTTTTCCTCTGTTTTTCATTTCTTTAACTAAGCTCTAAAGTGAATTCTCAAATATTCACACGTGGTATCTTAGGTAAATAGAAGTTGCCCTGGCAACCAGGGGGTATATATGATGTGATGGTTCATTGTATGTGTCAACCTGGCTGGGCCGCAGTGCCAGGTATTTGGTCAAACATTATTCTGGATATTTCTGTGAAGGTCTGTTTTGGATGAGATCAACGTTTAAATTGGTGGACTTTATGTAAAGCAGATTACCCACCAGAATATGGGTAAGTCTCATTCAATCAGTTGAAGACTTTAGCAGAACAAAGACTGACCCCTCCTGAGCAAGAATGAATTCTGCCAGCAGACTACCTTAGGGCTGGAACAGCATCTCTTCTGGGTCTCCAGCCTGGTGCCCTACTCTGCAGATTTTGGACTTGCCAGCCTCTGTAATGCCTGCCAATTCCTTAAAATAAGTATCCCTTTCTCTTGAGGTATCAACTTACATTGGTAGAGCTGTATAAATAGATCTAGATTTATGTCTCTAGATATATATGCTGCTATTGGTTTGTTTCTATGGAGAATCCTAATATGTCTGATTTATTTTATTTGCTATTCTTTCTTAGATTTCTCATTGCTGCTGGGACTGCTTTTTGCCTTTGAGTCTTAATTTTTTCAAAACTGCTATCTGGTATTGTGTTTGTAAGGAACTCTTCCAGCTTCTTTTACTTAAATGTCTATGATGGTTATGAATTTTCGTCCAAAATATTGGCATGCAATATGAGTGTCATGTTCCTTAATTTCTCTAAGAATTGAATCTGCTTTATGCCTCCACGTGTAACATGGCATTCATCTCTGGAATCATCTTCCCTCTTAAGAATGTCAGTCTTATCAGAATACTAGGGGAGGGACTAGTTTGTTAATCCAAGGTGCTTGGCAGCATCACTGAGATTTCTTCTGTGCTTGCTGCAGATTTCTGCTGCTGGTCCTCTAGTTTAAGTCAGGCATTCTTCTTTGAAATGAGTTAAGTGCCTCTCGCAGTGATCATAGATTATCCCCCCCCCCCATTTTTTTTGTATGTTTGTTTTTTAGTGGGGGAGGGAGGTAATTAGGTTTATTTGTTTATTTATTTTTAGAGGAGATGCTGGGGATTGAACCCAGGACCTCATACATGTGCTGTACCACTTGAGCTATACCCTCTCCCATGGGTTGTCTTGAAAAGAACTTTACTGTCACTCTCAGCCTTATGGTGCTTGGTGACTATCTTATTCTGTAGGTGTCCCTACAATCAGAATTATTTCACATGAATTCTTCACCCAGGTGGAGTCATCTCTCTTCCATGTTTACTCCTACTTTCAAACCTCGTCTCTTCCCTTTGTCTTAGAGAATCTCCTCCAGTCCTCTGATTTGCCTGGTACTGCCTCACTCACTAAAAGCGATAGTCTCTATGTCTCCCTCTCAGAGAAGGCTCAGCTTTTTAGAAATGTCTGAACTGAGATTGTTTCCTAGAAGCAAATTCAAAAGTCTTTATGGCAAGTGAAGCCAAAGTGTTGGCTCCCTACCTAGAGTGGAGGAGGGAAAAATACTTTCAGCTGAAAGAGCAAATTAATATATCAATGGATTATCCTGTCATGTGTCTTTGACAATATTATGCTTCTTCATCATTTCTTCCTTTGCTTTTATATAGAGCCCATTTGTCATTATTTTTCATGACTTCTTCCTTAGAATTCTAACTCTTCCCTCATGAAATACATGCTTTTGTTAAGTATGAAATTTGACAAGTATGACAGTTTGAGTGTACGATGCTTTCAGATCTTATCTATTTCCCACTTCAGTTTGTGTTTGACACGTAACATTTCTAATTCTTCACCAAATATTTCACTATTACTTTGTCACTTTTGATTTCTTCTTTGAGCTTCTCTTTCTCTGTGTATGAGTCTGTTTCCAACTCTTAACTTTGATCCTTACCTTTGGAGGTTTGTTTCAGTGATAATGATTATGGAGACATTTGAGAAGTAATTTTTTATGTTGTTTACCAATCAGTCTGGTTCTAGCTAGGCTTTATGCCTGGCGTGACTCTGGTAGGAATTTCAGCCACAAAGGGTTGGCGCAAGGGTGGGGCTTCAGGGAGTTGTGTTGGATCAAGTTTTCCTGGATTAGTTGGAAACTTCTCAATTCAAGAGGCAGTTGGAGTGGGGGAGTCCAGGAGTTAGTCAATACCAGTGGAAGAATATTAAGCCTCAGGTTCTAGGGGCAAGTTCTAAGTTATAAGCAATATATGATGTAAGGATTCAGGAACCATACTGACCAAATCACTTTACTCTCTGGCTCTTTTCTCTGATTCAGGTAATTTCTTTGCTGCTTTCTCTTTCTTTACCTGTCTCTTAAATGTAGGTGTTCCCTATGGATCTCTCCTCTTCTCATACAATTCACTCCCTCTGAGGGATTTAAGCCCATGAGTATCTGCTGTGTGCACTGTTCTAGGAGCAGGGTTGATAGCAGTGAATATGTCAGACAAGTCCTTGCTCTCATCAAGCTTTTATTCTAATGGAAGACACAGTTAGAAAAAATGAATAGTTAAGCAAGGTAATTTCAGATAACCATAAATATTAGAAAGACTATAAAGCTGGATGATGTAAATAATAAAAAATTTGATTCTACAGAGCATAGGGGGTCCTCCATGCAAAATGTGGTGTGAGATTGCTGCAAAGGAAAGAGTTGGTGCAAAGTCCCCAGACAGAAGGAGGAGCTAGCGTAAAATAAAGTTGGCGTAATCAGGAGCGACAAAGAAGGCAGTGTGACACTGGTGTGCTTTTGAAAAGGCAGAGTGGAAGGAGATGAGATTGGAAGGCAAAAATTTTGATTGTGTTGTGAGTATGAGGGAAAGCCATGGGAGGGTTTCAGGCAGGAGAGCAACATAATAGGTTACATTTTCAAATTTATTTTTTACTTTAAGCCCAACATGTTACAGACAGAAAACCGTATAGAACCAATGTATACGTGAAAGAATTATTAAAAGTTGAACATCCGTGTAACTCCCACTTACATCAAGATAAAGAATTTTGCCAGCCGCCCCAGATGCCTTATATGTGCCCTGTCTTAATCACAAACCCCTGTCTACCCCTCTAAAAGTAACAACCATCATTAATTTTATTGTTACCAATACTTAGTTTTTTTAAATTATAATTTTGTCACCCATGTGTACATCCCTAAACATCATTCTTTAGTTCTTCCTTTTAATTCTCTTTTAACGTCTCTCTTTATTTTTCCCCACGTGTTTTATTTGTTGAAGAATTTGAGTCGTTTGACCTATATAGTTTCTTACAGTCTTGATTTTGTGGATTGTATCCTCTTAGTATATTTTAACATGTTCCTCGATTTTCTATATTTTTAGTACATTGAGTCTACAATATTACTCAGATTCAGTAGGTACATAATGTCTGGATGTCTCTTTCGTGAAGCAGACATTGAAATAGTGCCTAAATCCATTCCTTCTTTAGGAATGATAAAATTGCAATCTCTGAATCTCCTTTGCACACCAAGAATAGTCCTAATTCTTAAGAATATTGGGGATGAAGTAAATATAGCATGACATAATTACTTGTTTGTTTTATTCCACGTTATACACACAGTAGTCTCATAAAAAAAACTAACACTACCACCATTCATGTGGTTGCTGAAAAAAATTAAATTAGTTTTTGTGTATACCCTTCTCATGTCCCCACCTTTAAAGAAAATAAATGTATAGTACAGTAGCAATATATCAACATTGTAAATGCATGTAACCATTTTTCTCTCTCTTGTAATCCTCATCTAACGTTGGTTCTACTAAGAAAATAAATATTTGATGTTAAACAATAGTTCTTATGTCAATATTTCTCTAGTCATTATGCTATCTGAAGTTCATTCCCTGGTAGATTTGATAGGAAAGGCTCAACACGAACAATATTCTGTGAGTTCTTGCATGTTGAAAACAGCTTACTTGCAGCATTTCATTTTGAAAGTCAGTTTGGCTGTATATAAAATCTTGGTAAAATTTTCTTTTCTTGAGTATCTTAACTATGTTACTCCACTTTCTTCTGGCATAAAGCATTACTGTTGGAAAGTCTAATGACCATTTGGATTTCTTCACTATTAGTGACTTTGCTCTTTGTCAAGATGCCAAAAACCCTTTTTTTCTTCAAAATCCAGTGATTTTATTCACATTTTCTCCTCTGTCAGCATTATTGAGATATAATTGACATATAATATTGTGTGAGTTTAAGGTATACAGTGTATTGATTTGATACATTTACATGCTGCAAAATGATTACCATTACACCCTTTAGCTAACACGTTATGTCACATAATTACCATTTTTTAACATTTTTTATTGATTTATAATCATTTTACAATGTTGTGTCAAATTCCAGTGTAGAGCACAATTTTTCAGTTATACATGAACATATATATATATTCATTGTCAAATTTTTTTCTCTGTGAGCTACCATCAGATCTTGTATAGATTTCCCTGTGCTATACAGTATACTCTTGTTTATCTATTCTACAGTTTTGAAATCCCAGTCTATCTCTTCCCACTCCCCACCCCCTTGGCAACCACAAGTTTATATTCTATGTCTGTGAGTCTATTTCTGTTTTATATTTATGCTTTTTTTTTTTTTTTAGATTCCACATATGAGCGATCTCATATGGTATTTTTCTTTCTCTTTCTGGCTTACTTCACTTAGAATGACATTCTCCAGGAGCATCAGTGTTGCTGCAAATGGCGTTATGTTGTTGATTTTTATGGCTGAGTACTATTCCATTGTATAAATATACCACATCTTCTTTATCCAGTCATCTGTTGATGGACATTTAGGCTGTTTCCATGTCTTGGCTATTGTAAATAATGCTGCTATGAACATTGGGGTGCAGGTATCATCCTGAAGTAGGGTTCTTTCTGGATATATGCCATTTAGGAGCTACTCTCTTAGCAACTTTCAAGTATGTGATATAGTGTTATTAAGTATAATCACCATGCTTCCCGTTAGAACCCTGGAACTTATTCATCTTATAACTGGAAATTTGTCCTATTTGACCAACATCTTTCCATTCCCCCAGTCCTAGCCCCAGGTAACCATTATTCTATTCTCTGTTTCCATGAGTTTCGCTTTTTGGTTTCCACATATAAGTGGTCTTGTAAAGTGTTTGGCTTTCTCTGACTGACTTATTTCACTTAACATAATGCCCTCAAGATTGATCCATGTTGTCACAAATGACAAAATTTTCTTCCTTATCATAGGTGAATAATTATTATTTATCATAGATGAATAATATTCCATTGTATATATATACCACATCTGCTTTATCTGTCTAGGTTGTTTCCATATCTTGGCTGAATAGTTATTGTGGATAATGCTGTAATGAACATGGGAGTGCAGATATCTCTTTGAGATTATATTTTCATTTACTTTGGAAATGTACCTATTACTGGTTTGTATGGTGCTTGTATTTTTAATTTTTTGAAATCTCTACACTGTTTTCCACAGTGACTGCACCAATTTACATTCCTGCCAATAGAGCACAAGGATTTCCTTTTCTCCACATTGTCACCAACACTTGTTGTAACTTGTGTTTTTGATGACAGTTATTCTAGAAACTGTGAAGTAATATCTCATTGTGGTTTCTACGTGCATTTCCCTGATGGTTAGTGATGCTGAGAACCTTTTTATGTACCTGTTGGCCATTTGTATGTCTTCTTTGGAAAAATATTTATTTAGCTCCTCTGCCCATTTTTAAAATGGATTGTTGTTTATTTTTGCTGTTGAGTTGTCTGAGTTGTTTAAAAATATATTTTGGATATTGACCCTTTATTAGATATGTGACTTGTAAATTTTTCTCCCATTCAGTAGGTTGCCTTTTCATTTTATTGATGGTTTGCTTTGCTGTGCATAAGCTTTTTTTTTTTTTGAAGTTTTTAGTTTAATATAGTCCCACTTGTTTATTTTTGCTTTTGTTGACTTTGCTTTTGGTGTCAAATACAGCAAGTCGTTGTCAAGACCAAAGTCAAGGAGCTTATGTTTTCATCTAGGAGTTTACTGTTTTAGGTATTACATTCAAGTCTCTAATCCATTTTGAGTTGATTTCTGTGTACAGTGTAAGAAAGGGGTCCAGTTTCATTCTTTTCCATGTGGCTGTCTAGTTTTCCTAAAATCGCTTATTGAAGAAACTGTCCTTTCCTTATCATATATTTTTGGTTCTTTTTTTAACTTTTAAAAATATTAAATTTATTATAACTAGAATCAATTTAATGGTTCTCAGATATTTGACCATCTTATAGTTTCATTTAAAGAAGGCATTTTTAACTGAAAACTTCATTATAACTTGGTCCAATTACTTACACATTAAAAAAAAAAACTTCCAAAGAGGAAAACAAGAAAACCAACTTCAGTTTCACATAATTAAAGAACAGGAGAAAGCACACAAGCTACATCATAGTTAAATTTACCTAACCACCAAAGCTGGGGGGGTTTCTCTTCTGATTTTGTGTCATAATTAATTGACCCTACATGTGTAGGTTCATTTCTGGGTTATTATGTTCCATTGATCTATGTGTTTGCATTTATGCCAGTACCACACTGTTTTGATTACTATAGCTTGGTAATACAGTTTGAAATCAGGAAGTGTGATGGTGTGATGCCTCCACCTTTGTTCTTCTTTCTCAAGATTGCCTCAGCTATTTGGTGTCTTCTGGTTCCATACAAATTTTAGGATTTTTTCCTATTTCTGCGAAAAATCACAATGGAAGTTTTATGTGGATTGCTTTGAATCTGTAGATTTCCTTGGGTATTATGGTCATTTTTAACATTATTATTCTTCCAGTCTATGAACATGGAATATCTTTCCATTTCTTTGTGTCTTCTTCAGTTTCTTTCATCAATGTCTTATAGTTTTCAGCGTACAGATCTTTCACCTGTTTGGTTACATTTATTCCTAAATATTTTATTCTTTT